AATGCCATACCACTGTTATTCGCTGCACCATTGAGTAAGGCATCGAGATTATCTCCGTGGATATTAATAGTAAAAGTAGAACGGTAGTGCTGTTTTTGTTTCTCTTTTTGTTTTTCGTGTGTTTCCTCCGTCTTATTTCCTTCTGTATGGCCTTGCTGCTCACCAAGAGATGTTTCCTTTGTCTGTGGGTGCTGCTGAGACTCCAACTGTTTTTCTTCTTCCTTCTTCTTGGCAGCAGCAACTGCGGCGTCGAGTTGGTTAATGACCTCCTCCACACGTTTAGCATGAAGCTCCGCATTTTCGATAGCAGTGTTAGCAGCACGTACCGCTTTGTCTGCATCTTCAACTGCTTTCAATGCCGCCTCAGCATTTCCTGGTAGAAGACCATGGGTGGCTTTGCCGAAAGTTTCCTCTGCACTTTCTGTAGTTTTGTCGGCCACTTTTCGTGCTTCAGCTGCAGCCTGCGTTGTATTATCAATGAATTTACGACCTTCACTCTTCCTTTTCTCCACCTCTTTTGGATCAGCAGCAATTGTTACGAGATTAATCTCAGTGTCATGAGCAAATCGTTGAGCTTTATGGGCGGCGTCTTCTGTGGAGGTGGCGACTTTCTCACACTCCTTTTTCAGTCTCAAAGTCTCCTTAAACTTCTCTTGTGCTTCCTTAAATAGTGGTGACGTGCCCCCTGATGCAGCATGAGCCAGACCCACGCAGCAGAACACAACGGCCAACAGACACATCACACGGTGCATCATCATCATCATTGCTCTTCTTTTTCTTGTTGTCTTTCTTGTTACTTGAGGTTGTAGATCTGTGCAGGGAGTGTGGAAAAGAGGGAAAAAGGTGAGAAACATAGAGAGTGGATGCAGGACACAAATACTCACAGTGGGATATAGAGAGAGAGAAGCAACTGCACAGTAAACCAACAAAAAGGAATATCCCCCTTGCATGATAATAATATGCACCCATTATTAAAAAAAAAAACACACATTACCCAAATAAGAGAGAGAGCCAAAAAAAAAAAAAAAACACAATACCCCATGGCTCTAGTTTATGTATATTAAATTACTGCACACACACATCTGTGTGTACTAAGCAAGAGGTGTATACCGTCAGTGAGCAGAACAGCCCAGTTTCCTGCAAACACACAACGGGAAAAGCAAGTAATGGAATTATTAGAAAATGAACACACACATAAAAGTAAAAAGAAAAAAAAATTCGAATTAAAAGATAATACTGTTAAACAGATTATTAATTCATTCACCCATGGGGTAGATGTACGCAATTATGATGATGTTAGTATTACCATTATTATTATTATTTCTCCTCAGATGAGTCCCACCGTTCAGTACAGGGTAACGGAGAACAACACAGCTACAATCAGCAGCGGTGCTGCAGTGCGCATCCACACAGGACTGATACTGCTGTCAACACTGGCCTTGTTCCTCAGTACAGTGGGGGCAATGCTGCTGATCTGTGGGTCAGTTACGGGAACAGGAGATGGAGTGGTGGTTGGTGCTTCTGTGGTAGTATTAGTGTTGGTGGCCGTTGAATCAGCATTACCATTCTCTTGTGAAGCTGTTGCGTTAGTTGTACTTGCCTCTGCAGGAGATGTTTCCTGGGTAGTATTAGAATCGCCTGTTGTAGTGTTATCCCCTGTGTTATTTGATGATCCTTGGTTACCTTGTGTAGGTGGAGTAGACTCTGGAGGTTGGATTTGTTCTCCAAGATTGGGTTCACCTCCAGTACCAGGTTTACTGTGGCCCGGTTGAGTGGCAGAAGTAACCGATGAACTGTCTTTAACACCTCTACTTTGTTCGTGGGCGGTGGGAGAAACGGGATGTTGTCCTCCCTCTCCTTCATTCAAACCGTTTCGATCATTTGGGTTTCCTTGTAAAGATATTTCTGGATTTTTAGAGAGTGTTGGTTGTCCTGCACCACCCACATCCGGTGCCGTCTCAACTGGGCCTTGGGGCGCACCCTGATCTTGTGCCCTAGTGGAACTCCTTGTGGTACCAGAGTTAGAACTTCCAGTAGAGGGTGGCACAGGGTACTCCTTTTCTTCACCATAGAGAGATATAAATATTCGATCACTACTACTACCTCCAGAAACAGTAGTAATGGTTTCAGGAGTACGCGGAGGATCAGAAGTGCAATTAGAACCATCTTTATTAAGTCCATTTTCCGGACAAGATTTCGCGTCACCTTCCAAACAAACATAGGCAACACTCAAAATAAAAACTAGCAAACACACAACGGGTCGCGTCATCATGGCAAGAGTAATTCTTGGTTGTTTTTACGTCACTTTGCTAAAGAAAAAAAAAAACAGAGAGAAAAAGTAAAAAATCAAATAAAAATAGATGGTAAAAGACAACACAATAGAAACACAAAACAATAAAAAGAAAATAAATGAAGTATCAAACATGTTAGGACACACAAATCGATTACCAACATGGAAACTCACATCGTGAAAGTAAAACCTACCAGTTAAAGAATGCAATACAGCGCACATAACCTTACTAAGAGCAAAAACAAAAAAAAAGGCCCACACTCACAAATATCTCAAAAAAAGGACACAACCACCCAGCAAAATCATCAAGCAAAGAAAAAACAGATATTAATCATTAGCCCAATTTACCCAGTAAACACAAGAAATACACCACCTATGTGTGTACGTCTATATACGTCTATATGTGTATATACGCAATTATAAATATAAATTCATCTGGTATTGTTATTATTTCTTTTTTCCCACAGCAAAAAGCAGTTCATCATCATAACAGTGCAAAGCCCAGGTGCACACAGAGAGAGTCTCCAAGAACACACACACACACAATGGAGTAGCAATAATAATTATTATAGGATAAACACACAGAGAAAGCAAAAACACAGAAAACACATTAATATTAAGAAACATAAAAAAGAAAAGAAAATCCCAACAGGTGGAAGATTAGTTAGACTGGAGAGATGCATGCAAAAAAAGAAAAGAGAAAACAAAGGATGACCTGAGTCACACCACCACACCATCATTACAATCAGCACACAAGAATACAGGCCAGTGTAACCACAATCAGTAGTGGTACACGCATACACACAGAACTGCTGATACTGCTGCTGCTGTCTGCATCACCCTTCTTGTTGTTTGTGAGTTCAGGAGGAAGTGTTGTTGTTGTGGTAGTGGTGGTTGAGTTTGATTCTGTACCTTCTGCTCCTTCTTCATTTTGGGTCCTTCTTGATTCATTCTCTTCAGATGTAGTGACACTCACACTGTTTGTATTTTCAGAACCATCGCTGCTCTCTTTGTCTGAAGTGTTTGAAGGCGTTTGTGTTGCGTCAGCGTCCGCATTTGTTGAATTGCCAACTGTGTCACTGTTGCTGTTGGTCTCAGGTTGAGCTGCACTTGTGGACGCAGCAACACTCTCATCAGAAGGTGCAGGAGCAGCAGGTTCAGCAACAGTAGGAGGACGGTTAGGAGGTTCAGAATCAGTAGAAGGACCACCAGTACCAGTTTGACTTGTTCTACCGGGAGAATCAGCATTTTCAGACCCACGTTCACCTTGAGGATCGTCTCCTACACGGGTATCTTCTCCTGCTTGAGTGAGAACCGGTTGATTGTGTGGACAATTATCACCAGAAGTATCAGTACAATGGCTTTGAGTTTTGCGCTCAGGGTTACCGCACCCGTTCTTCTCAGGAAGTGTCTCACAATCAGTAGAAGAAACTCCAGATGCAGCACGGCTACTAGTAGTACAAGTAGTGCCAGTAGTACCTGTAGAACAATCATCACCACCATCGTGTTGTGTTTGTGGTGATTGTGTTTCACCAGAAGGAGCTGGAGGCCCTACAGTTTCACCAGTCGCCACCACAAACACGCATTGAAGACAGAGAAGCAAAGCCACAAGATACAACACACGTCGCATCATCACGGCAAACATAACTTTTTCTGGGTTTACTGATCTTAACCAAGGACCAAAAAAAGAGAAGTATGGGGAAAAGAGAAAAAGAGACCAAGAGAAACAGATTATACAATGGAAACAACAACACATATACACGAAAGAATGAACACAACGACACCAATACTCAACCAAAAACAATATTCGAGTAGAGGTAACAATAATAAAGCTATAAAAATTCACCTCACACAATACCCAAGAAAAACAAAGAAAAAACAGAAACAGAAACAAAAAACAGTAATAACAGCAACAAGGGAATCATCAAACACAAAGAACAGAATCACATGGCTATGCTTGAGTTAAAATGCAACTACGAATATAAATGTATAATAATTATTTTTTGTTCCTCTGAAAAAAGCATATCATCACAAAACTGCAGGATAGAACCCACAACGACCCAAGCAAACCACAAGCAAAGAAAAAACAGATATTAACCAATATTCCAATTTAACCAATAAACACAGAAATATACACCACCTATGGGTGTAAGTCTATATGTGTGTGCATATACGCAATTATAAATATAAATTCATCTGTTATTATTATTTCCTTTTCCCACTGCAAAAAGCAATTCATCATCATTATCACAGTGCAAGCCCAGGCATACACACAGAGAGAGTCTCCAAGAACACACACACAATGGAGTAGCAATAATAATTATTATTATAGGATAAACATAGAGATAGCAAAAAACACAACAACACACATTAACATTAAGAAACAAAAAAAGAAGAATTTCCCAACAGGTGGAAGATTAGTTAGACTGTAGGGGATTGCATGCAAAAAAGAAAACAAAGGATGACCTGAGTCACACCATCACACCACCATTACAATCAGCACACAAGAATACAGGCCAGTGTAACCACAATCAGTAGTGGTACACGCACCCACACAGAACTGCTGATACTGCTGCTGCTGTCTGC